AGTGTGACTATCCAACGCGGTCCAAAACACTTCGAGGAACCCAAAGAAAGGAGATTTGGCAGGAGGCAATTGGATGAAATTCAAGCAAGTAGTACGAAACTCACAAACTGTTCAGAAATGTTTCTTTGCCCAGAAAATAATGATCAACAATCTGCAGCTTCTTGCACGACCAATCCTAAATCTATCTTGTTGACGGGCAAAGCAGGAATTGGAAAATCCCTTTTTTGTCGGAAGCTGGTACGGGATTGGTCGCATAACCGATTGTTTGAGGAAGGTCAAGAAAATGCAAAAGTACCTGATTTTCAGTTTGTGTTTCTGTTGACATTCCGTCAACTTCTTCTTCTAGAAGAAGAACAAAAAATGGTTGACTTACGTGATATCTTACATCGGTCCTCCCTACTGAACGAGCACTCGGGGATAGACGAGTCATTACTGCAGTACATGATTGACAATCCTGAGAAGCTGCTCATCATCCTCGATGGGTATGATGAGTATAAACCGCATCGAGAGAAAATCACCGGGGACTTTGAGACAARATWYCCAAACGACCCTCATGAAAAAATACCTGTTCCTGCTCTGATTGCCAAAATCATGAAAAGAAAGATGTTAAACGGTGCAGTACTGCTTTTATCCTCGAGGCCTTGCGAAGCCGAGGAATTAAAAGAAATTGTCTTTGATGTGAGATGTGAGATTCAAGAATTTTCTTCACTTCAAGTGCTAGAATACATCGAAAAATATTTCAAAGAGAACGAAAGCATGAAGAAAAAAGCACTTGATCACATCAAAAGAAATGACATTCTTTTAAGTTTTGGTCACATTCCTGTGATGTGTTTTCTAATGTGCTTCTATATTAAATGGTACATGACTGAATCAAAAACCACAGGAAAACTACCCGTCTCCAGAACAGAGCTTTATCTTGAAGTAATCAAGTTTTTTATCAAGAAACATTCCTCTTCTAAATATGAAGAAATGGAAGAAACTAAAGTACATGAAATATTACATAAACTAGCTAAACTAGCGGTGAATTTAATGATGGAAGATAAATATATTTTCAACGAAAATGATATGAAAAAATTCAATCTTAACGATGAAGAAATAACAAACCTGAAAGCGAGTGGATTACTTGACTGTTGTCCTGGCGTTAAAAAATTTCCATTCGATAAACCACCACTTGAATTTACGTTTACCCACTTAACGATTCAAGAATTTCTTTGTGCTTTTTTGTTTGTAGAGAAAAAACAAATCCCAGAGAAAGAGAAAACGAGCGATGTGACATTCATGTTCATGGCGGGAATGTTTTCAAGAAAAAGAGATAGAAAAATGATGAAAAAGTTGATAAAAAATTTCAAGCCAGGGAAGGAAAAACATAGGAGAAACAAACTGCTAACTTTATCCTGTCTTTACGAGTACAAAGACGATGGATTTTCTACCAGAGTAATAAATAACCTTAAACACATATACTATGATAGGGGTGGGTGGATTGGATTTGAAGAAATAACTGATATCGATTGTTTGTACATAAGTTATTTATTAGATATAGCGAATTTAATCAACGCAGAAGAAACTAAACGACATTCAATATTTACACAGTCATTTGTTGTTAATACATTATACATTGTTGAGTCATCTTTATCAGCATCAGGGATCAGAATGTTGTGTAATTCTCTTGTTAATATTTCTACTGTTGCTGTACTGTTGCTGGGCGTTTGTGAATTAGACGATGAATGTGTTAAAATAATATGTGACATGTTACCTCGTACTAAGATAACACACCTAGCACTAGATGGTAATAATATAACAAATGTTGGTGCTCAGTGTCTGTGTTCAGTATTAATACGTGATGATTGTCGTGTGAAAGAGTTAGACTTACTGCGTAATAACATAACAAGTGAATGTGAACTGTATTTAAGACAACAGATCCCTGGTGTTGTGTTGACTATTTAGATCAATAAAACATATATTGTGACGACATAGGTTATACGCTTTGGATTACTTTATTAGAAAACCAGCTCCAACGTGAGCCAACACAACTAACCTGTAACTAACGACTATATCTACAACTACAACTACAACTTGACCTAGGCCTATTCAGTTAACTACACTACATTGCCCCTCTAAGAAAAAGAAAAAGTCTTTTACCCAAAATGGGGCCTTTCTGGATATTTTAGGTCTTCTTTGCATTTCTTGCTTGTCTGCTGGGGTTTTTGCAGGTCTTCGTCTCATTTCTTGCTTGTCTACTGGACGGTCTGTAGTCCTTGTTGCTGAGGCCGTGGTTGTCAGGTCATCTTGTGTAGCTGGTGAGCATGGAAGTGGTTTGGAATCATTCGTTGCTGGTCTTCCTGCAGCTGGGGTCTTCTTCAATGAAGGACACTATGATTTCTTCTGAGGCCTCATCCACACTATGCCGGATAAATTTCAATCCGCAACTTTCACACCGAAACCGAAAAAAAAGTTTTCCGTCCACACATGAAAACGGATAAAATGTTTTGCGTTCACACTAGTGCGATCAGAGGCGGCAAAAACGTTTCATTGCACATCTGAGAGAAATTGAGTCCGCGGTGAATTTTTAGCCTTCCCGCCATGTTCCCATGATAATCTTGACTTCATCGTATTCGAAAAAATTTCGGATACGAAATGTTCTCTGTTCACATTAATACAGGTAGCCGGCGTTTTCAAATTGTTCCGCTCTGGAGACCGTGTTCGAAAAAAATCGTTTTTGGTGAAGAATTGTTCCAGATTCGCCCGGACTATTGTGGACGGTAGGTCTAACCGAATAAATAAAAATTTGGATTCAAGTTTATCCGGCATAGTGTGGACGGGGCCTGAGTAGTTTGGTTTGATTGTCCTTGATCGAGCTAGCTGGGCACGTCTCCTCCCCTGTAAGGACGAAGACGATCATGATGAATGCCTCTCAGCTTCGCCCGTGGACTTCTGTATCCGGTCACTTATTCTCTCCAGGACAAGATAGGGGTCTTCCCAAGGACGTTGGAGACACGGAGACAAACCTTTCTTCCTTGTTGGATTGTAGAACCACATAGCCGCTCCACGATCGTACACATGCTGATTACGCCTTTGGTTTTACTTCCGCTTCTGTCTATCACTCTCCAGATTAAGGCGTTCCCGAGCGTACTGATGTCAGCAAGGGCGGATCTAGCCAAAATGGGGGGGGGGGGGGGGTCTAATTGATTTTCTTCCTACAACACAACGGAAAGCAATATAAAAAAACATCGTTTTTTTCTGCTGAAGGGGGTCTTCACTCCCCTTTGCCCCCCCTCCCTAGATCTGCCCTTGGTCAGTACACGACGAGTAGTCCTGTCCTGCAAAGTTCGCGCATAACCTTTTACGGCCTCCTCCCTCTCTGGTGTACCAAATAAGAGATCGAAAGGTAGTCGCATCTCTCGTTCAAACATCAGCTTGCTAGGAGTCGTTTCATGCACAGCCGAGCGATATCAGAAGCGGACGATGTCCATCTCAGTCACGGAGATTGTCACTAACGAACTTAGTAAGTATGTCCTTCAAAGTGCGATTAAATCGCTCCATAATGCATGCCATCTGACCGTGGTCTTTTTTTTGGTCGTCCTTGTCTTTTCTGTACCAAGGATCTTACGAATCTCTTTGAAGAGTGCGGATTCGAAGTTTCGCCCTTGACCGAGTGTATCTCCTCCGGTATCGCCCTTGATCCGAATGTGTCTCCTCCGGTATCACCCTTGATCCGAGTGCATCTCCTCCGGTATCGCCCTTGATCTGAGTGTATCTCCTCCGGCACCCCATTTGATCCGAGTGTAGCTCCTCCGGTACCCCATATCGTGTTCCTCTACTAGGACTCTTGCAACTGCCTCAGCTTCCATGTTTGTGAGAGCATACGCCTCCGTCCATTTGGTGAAGTAATCACTTACTACCAGCACATACTTATTTCCTTGATCTGTTTTCGTAAGTGAGCCAATGATGTCTACAGCAATGCGTTCCGGGGCACCCACGTTGTAGGACTTGATGCTTTAGGTTTCGTAAGGGGTCCAGCTCTCGAAGAGAAGACATCGCAGTGTTGACACAGACGGCGCACGTCCTGAGCGTGTCCAGACCAATAGAATCGCTCTTTAACTCTAGCCAATGTCTTCCTCATCCCCAGAAGACCGGCTACTGAACTGTTGTGCAGTTGATGTAAGACCTCGTCTCTGTAGCACTGTGGTAGGACTCGTCTGTAGTACAAAACTCTCACCTTCTTCTGATTCCCATTGCCGATAGGGCACTCCATCTTTGAATAGCATTCTGTCCCACTGGGCCCAATAGGATTTAGAATATGGGCCTTCACTTGCAATCTTTGCCCAGGATGTGAAATAGGTTATTTTTGGCCAATTTTGGGCAAAAAGCATGGACTGTAGTCCAAGGTTTAAATCGATTTTAGACCATTTTCACACTTTTTTAAAACATATGCATTATTTATAAAGGACGCAAAATAGGTCATTTTTGGGCATTTTTTGTCAAAAAGCATGGACTATAGCCCATGGTTTTGATGGATTTTGGGTCATTTTCACACCTTTTGAAAAGATATGCATTATTTATGAAGGATGCAAAATAGGTCATTTTTTGGCA